ATGATATGCCTATGGGTAATTTCTTTTGGGCATTTATCCTGCTTGGTGTTCTTTGAGCTTCCTGGATCTGTGGTTTGGTGTCTGATATTGATATGAAAAAATTCTCAGTCATTGCTTCCAATATTGCTTCTATTTCTTTCTTCTCCATCTTGCATTGCCATAATGTGTATGTATGCCTTTTGTAATTGAACTGTGTCCCACAGTTCTTGTACGTCTGTGTTTTTTCCTCCCCTGTCTTTTTTGTCTTTGCTTTTCAGTTTTGGATGTTTCTACTGACACATCCTCAAGGTGAGAGGTTTTTTTCCTTACCCTTGTCTAGTCTACTTATGAGCCTATGAAAGGCATTCTCCATTTCTGTTATGCTGTTTTTTATCTGCAGCACTTCTTTTTGATTTTTCTTAGAATTTCCATTTTTTTATTTATACTACACATACGTTGTTGCTTACTGTGTACTTTTTCCATTAGAGCCTGTGGCATATTAATCATAGTTATTTTAAATTCCTGGTCTGATAATTCCAGTATCCCTGCCATATCTGAATCTGGTTCTAATGCTTGCTCTGACTCTTAAACCTGTGCTTTTTGCATTTTAATATGCCTTGTAATTTTTTGTTAAAAGGCTGGCATGATGTCTGGATAAAAGGAACTGCTATAACTATTTAGTAGTGTGGTGGTGGTAAGGTGTCAGGGAGGGGAAGCGTTTTATAGTCCTTTAATTAGGTGTCCATCTTTGGTGAGCCTGTGCCCCTGGGCTATGACCTTAACAGGTGCTTCCTAGTATAGTGGTTCCCTCCTCCTCCCTTTAAGTGGGATGGGATGGCTTGACCATTTCTCAAGCTCCTGGGGTAAACTCATGAAAATGGGGAGACCTCCTGAGTGCATCCCCCCACCCCACCCCATCAAAAAATTTTTTTTTCTGAACGGTAAGGGGATCGCAACCCTCCGCACGGTGTTGTCTGCACCACGCTCAGCCAGTGAGCGCACCGGCCATCACTACATAGGATCCGAACCCATGACCTTGGTGCTACCAGTGCCGCACTCTCCTGAGTGAGCCATAGGGCTGGCCCCCACTAAAATTTTTAACTGTCAGACTTATCCACACTAACCTGCCAACAATGTCACTTACAGTGTAGGTTTTCTACCCCAGCAATGAAACTCCCATGGAGGTTTCTGATCCCATAAGTTATGATTCTCTGTGTTCACCTGTCTCTCCAATTTGGGGGCACTTGTTTGACCTGTGACCTCAATTCTCTGACCAGTCTGAGAAAGAGTTGTTGATTTTTTAGTTCGTTCAACTTTTTACTTGTTGTTAGGTTGGATTGGTAACTTCTAAGCTCCTTACATGCCAGACCAGAAACCACAAGTTCTTTCTATTCATTTTTTAATTTTCAAGAGACTTTTGTAGTTGATCTGTTCCCCCCACCCCCTTTTTCATAGCCTCTTGTTTGTATTTTGTGACTACTATACCTTCAATTTAGTTTCCTTGTGGATACCAATTCTTTTTTTCTGTTGTTTCTTTTTTCTTACTGAAATCCCAATTCTTTTAATCATTTTAGTTCTCAGATCATTTCAGGGACATTGGTGCTTGTTTTGGTCTTTCTCAGTCATGCCATGTGGCTGTCGATTGTTGTTTATCTATTCATGTTGAAGATGAAAGGATTACTTGATTATGAGTGGCTTACCGTTTCTTTTTTTTTTTTTTCTTTTTGTCTCTTTTTTCTTGTCCGGCAACGGATCGCAACCCTCAGTGTCGCGCCCGTACCGGACCGGGACCAGCAACAGGATCGCAGCCCTCAGT